TCACCATCCTAGCCGTTTTTAAGTGCGCAGTTCAGTGGTGTAAATAAGCACATGTGCAAGTCTGTGTGACCAACCTCCAGAACACTTCCACTTGCAAAACTGAAGCTCTGTACCCATTAAATATCAACTTCCTCATTCCAGTCTCTGCTTCTATGAATGTGACAGCTAAAAGTACTTTATAGACGTGTCATCAGCCAGAATCCGTCTTTCTGTGGCTAGTCATACCATTTAGCAGAAAATCTTCAAGGTTCATTAGTGTTGAAGTGTGTGTGTGTTATGGTTTGGACGTGAGGAGTTCCCCAAAAGCTCACATGTGAGACAATGCGAGGAGCTTTGGAGGAGAAATGAGAGGGTCATGAAAATTTTAACCCACTCAGTGAATTAATCACCTCATGGGCTTAATTGAATGGTAATTGAAGGCAGGTGGGGTGTGGCTGGAGGAGGTGGGCATTGGGGACGTGGCCTTGGGGTATATATTTGTATCTGGCAAGTGGAGATCTCTCTCTCTCTCTCTGCTTTCTGATCATGTGAGCTGCTTGCCTTTGCCACACACTCTGCCATGATATTCTGCTTCACCTTGAGTCCCAAGGAATGGAGCTGGCTGTTTATGGACTGAGATCTCTGAAACTGTGAGCTCCCAAATAAACTTTTCCTCCTCTATAATTGTTCTGGCAAGGTCCTTTAGTCACAGCTGTGAAAAAAAGCTGATAAAAACAATGTGCTACAATTTATTTTAATGAAAATATAATGAAAAAATATATTCCCTTGTGTATATATGCTGCAATTTTGCTTGTCTGTTCATGCATCCATCCATGGTCCTACAGTTGTTTCTATCTCTTGATATTGTAAATAATGCTACTATAAACATGGATATGAAAATATCTCCTTGACTTGATTTGGGGGTATATACCAGATGTGGAATTGCTGGGTCACATGGTAATTCCATGACCATGAGTGGTTCATATTGTTATTAGTAGGATTTTCTTTGCATCGAATTTTGTAATTGATTTTTGATGACATAAAGGAAAATTTTGCTAGATTTTGTGTATCTTTTCTATGTTTTTTTCCCCAACCAGTGTTTCTCAAGCTTGGATACAAATTAGAGGCATCTGGGAGCTTTTGAAACATACACAAAGCTAGGTCTCACTCAAGATCAATTATATCAGAATTTCTGGGTGAGTCCCAGGTGTTGATAGATTTGGAAAGCTTTCCAAGTGATTCTAAAGAGAAGTAAAATTGAGGACTTGTCTACACCAACTTACTGAAGTCTTATTAGACTCAATTATTGTCCAGTTGATCCACATGGATGTTTTAGGCAGCGATATCACCAGGAAATAATGACAATTCTCTATTTTTTAATATTTACATTTCTCATTAATGTACCTTTGATTTACTGAATTGACCACAACCTCCTCAACAATGCTAAATACATCTCTGTTCTGTTTCTGATTTTTAAATGCTTTTTCTTTAAGAAAAAAAATTAAACGCTATTATCAAAGAGATTTTTTCTTAATGTGCATTTCTTGAGAAGGACAGGAAAACAGGGATGATTTGAAGAGTTGACATATCACCTAGGCCTGTAATCTTTGGAAATTTTGGAATGTATTTTCCTAAAGCAAGTACAGGTAGTATTTGAAAGAAATTCAAATTACAAATGTATTCACGTTACTATTAATTTGGTAAAATTCACCTCGGTGTGTTGACTTATTCTTCCTTCCTTAGTTTTTGTGATATTGATCACAGAGCTTATCTCCTTTGCACAACTGATGCTCTGAAGCATATTATTGGGTTTGCTATTATGGAAACTGTGGGTCAGGTCTGCTTTATGAAGTTTTGGTCTGCTTCCTCTCCATGGGGACCTGTGACCCCCTGAACTGATGGAGCCCATGTGGCCCTGCTCCTGGAAGACACTGGCACCTTGTTTATTCTTGGCTCTGCTCTTACTTACAGAGCATTTTTGCTGGGACTTGACCTAGGATGCAATCTGTTACTACTTTTCTGCATATTTTCTTACTAGACATTTTCTGGGAGTTGTTATATCTGCATGGCTGTCAAACAAACATTGGGTAGGAGTGTGTGACAGGGGAATGGTGCTCTGCCAAGACTCAAAGACAACAGTCGTCTGACGGAGGGCCCGCTTCTGCATTTTTTGAGTCTTACAGCTTCTGGGTCTCTGAGTCAGGAGACATGTTAAGGGAAGGCTGGACTTTCTTCCTCCTCATCTCTCTATTTCTCTCCTTTCCTGCCTCCCTCTTTTAATCCTTTCTACCTTTGAAAAACCTTCTTTGTTTTAAAAGCTAAGACAGAAACCCATTAAATAGTCATATTTTAACAAAACTCCATTTGTCTGTAGGTTCCAGGATTCTTTCTGGATTTTGGTATTATTTTGTCTGGTAGATTTTCTTTTTTCTGCTTGTGAATTTTCATCTTCCCCCACTCAACCCTTGGGTTTCTCTACAGGTATTTCAGAGGGAGGTTGGAAGAGATTGGATTAAGGTTCAGATTCAGATACCACTTTAAACCAGAAGTCTATCATTTCACCTTCTTCGTGCATTTTAATCAAGAGAGTGATGTGCCGATGTGGATTAAAGGGAGATTAGAAATGACGCCTGGAGATGAGTAAGGAGGCTAGGAAAGCTTGAACTTTTGGAGAACTCTTTAATTCAGTATAAAATGAGGGACTAATCAGAACATAATCGAATATATCCAACCTTACGAAGCAGGATAGGAGATCTGAGCTTCAACCTTAGTTCTAACTAATCCTCACCATCTGTGCAAACTTGCACAACTCTTTTGACTTCTATAAGTGTTGGAGTACTTACGAAGGTTAATTTTGCCTCAACTTGACCAGGCTAAAGGATTCCCAGGTAGCTGGTAAAATACTATTTCTGGGCATGTCTGTGAGGGGGTTTCTAGAAGATACCAGCATTAGAATTAGTAGAGTGAATGAAGAAGATCCATCTTCCCCAACATGGGTGGGCATCATCCCATCCGCTGAGGGCCCAGATGGAACAAAAGGACTGAAGGCTAAGAGTCCTGCTGGTCCATGTGCAAAAGAGAGTGGTGGAGGTGCTGGTGGGCTTAGGAGAAGATTGGGTTAGGGTGGGGAGAGCAGGGTTGCCCTCTGGCTCCTGATGGGCAGTCATGAGAGTCACATCTGCTTTTCCTGCTAAGATGGACAAAATGGTGTGCTTCTAGAAGAAGTGAAGGAGAGGTCCTATTTGAATTTTAAAAAAGTTTAGTCTGGCATATTATTATCTGTGTGAGCAATCTTTGCAGTGATTTATCTGAATTTTCCTATGTAAAGCACAGCCTTCTTAGGTAGAGCTATATAGTTATATAGCTGTCGTTCTGCCTCGGTGAGGTTAAGTAAAGTGGACGAGGGAGACAGAAGGAGAATGGACAGACTTCAGATTCTGTCTATATTCATGTGACTCCCCAACACTGATTTTTCTCCCTGAGCTGAGCTGCCTTCACTTCAGGGTCCTGCAGGTGTGGTTGTGTGGCCGATAGAAGAATCAAGGAAATCTGATCTGCTTTGTGGGCCGGTCAGAAATCCTGAGCTTCTGAGGTCAGTGACTGTGTTTTATCAACTTTCGAAACCCAACGACTGGCACAATTACTGGCCCATAGAGTAGACACGCTATAAATATAGTTAAGTGGAGTTGAATTACACACAGAGCCTCGCGGGGCTCTGGGCCCGCTCTCTCGCTTCCTCCACACTCCGTCTGCGCCGGTCCTGGGGTCGGACCAGCTCTCCCCTCCAGGTGCTGGCCAGGGAAGGGCAGGGACCCGAAGTATTTGCTTACAAGTTAATTTGGAGATCAGCAAGGCTGAGTCTCCGCACTGAGGGGGACCAGAGTGATGCCTTCAGGCTGGTGTTTTAAAACCCCACAATTAAGTTCACTAACAGGAATGAAACGGGGGAGAGGAGCAGCCGGAGAGGCACTAGTGTGGGGTGAGCACAGCTCGCCCTCCTCTGTTTCTCTCCCTCTCTGTCTTTTCGTTCTTTTCCTCTCACAATGAAGGCTGCTGACCCTCTGGGTTTTGTTTACCCCTGTGAACCGTGACATGATTGCGTTCCTGAATAATAGCCACTAATCGTAGGGAAAAAGACCTTTGAAAAAGGCCTAATTTAAAGCAGGTTGGTATAAAACGGCAGATCTTGAATTCTGAAGATGGAAATGGCTCGGTGCAGAACCTAAGTTCCCCGAGGACGCACCGCGTGTGTTTCTAGTGTACCTCGGGGGTGGGGGGTGGCTTGGTCCAGCGCAGGTATCCCCAGGAGGTCTGCTGAGTTGCACTGAAGAAACAAATGGCGACAGCAGCTGGCGCTGACCGCCGTGGAGGTCTCCTTGCTGTTCCCCAAGGTCAGCTGAGGCTTGGCGAGGCAGAGTGGAGAGGCCTGACAAAGAGCACCCCACGTTCTTCAACAAGACGGACCCGTGGAGGGGACACCAGCAAAGCAAATGCCGAGCCAAGGCCAGGCCTGGGCGGGTGGGGTGAGAGGGAAGGTGAGCCAGAGCCTGCCTGGCTGCTGCACACTGTGACGTGCCTCTAATAGGCAAAATAAAATCGTAGTCACCGCTGCAAAAGACTCCTGCTGCAATTTATTAATCAGGGTCTGGGGAGATGGATGACACTGAATGATTATGTAGCATTAGGCTAAGCCCCTGGTCCTCTGGCAGAGTGGCTCTCTGGATGGGGTACAGATGCTCACATCTGCTTTTGTTAGAGACCGAAACTCCTGCGTCCTGGTGTGAAGTTAATGAAGGCCCTGCATTATACCCCACATTCCTTTAGCAGAGCGAACCCTATCTGGCCAACCTGGAAATCCAATGAGTTAATTAAGGGAGAATTGTCTATGATTTCCTCTTCCATTATAACCGCGCCCTCCGCCCTTCCCCACCCCCACGCGGCCTGGGTCCCCCTCCTCCCTGCAAACCTAAGCAGCGAAACTGCCTCTTGCCCCATGTGCCAGAATGATTAATGGAGGGGCTCCAATGAGGTCAATTAGCTGGGGTCGGCCTGAAGCTGAAAGGTGGAGTGTGTTTCTTTATTGAACAGTGCATTCACACTCCAAGCGGCGACCTGCGCGGGGTGATTTATTACGAGGGCAGTCCTCTGATCACTCACCTTCGGTGCTTGTACCTGGGTTTTGAAAACCGGGCTTTCACTGTCAATTAACGCCGGACAAGGAGATCCATTCAAAATCTGAAATGCATACCTAATAGTGGATGGGGGTAGGGGCGGCAGAGGGGAGCGGCTGGGCTGGAGGCGGAGGCCGGGACGTGGCTCTGCCACCCTCAGGACACCCGAGCCATGGGCCAGCTGGGCCGTCGCACGTCAGGACTAAAATGCTTTGGGTGTGAAAGCAAGTTACCCTGTTGAACAACCCGATCTCCGAAGGCTGGCTTGGTCAGCTCCAAAGGGCCCACTCTTCTTCTCAGTTTGGCAGCCATGGGAGGGCAGCAGGAAAAATGGAACAGGGTCTGGGTCTTCCTAAAAAAAAAAAAAAATGCTGATTTCTTGCCTGGGCCTCTAAAGTGAGTCTCTTGCTTTTGGGGCTTTTTGAAGAAGCACCATCCACATCTCTGTGCACTACAATGGGCTCACGTTTGGATTCAAAGTACCAGGGCAGGAGCTGGACTTTCCAGGGACGGTCAAGGCTACTTAGTGGCTGAAGCATGTTTTCTCCTGCTACCAATCTCAGGACCCTGGGACCACAGTCACGGTGGGGTCTCATCACTGGGAACGTCTGCAGAGCAGCCAATGAGTAGGGATGAGTTGGACCACATCCCTTTGGCCTGCCCATTCTCTGGAAGTTTCCTCCCCCAGTATTAGTGTAGATCACCCCCATCTCCAGGAGAGTGTCCCCTGACTGGAGAATCAACTGGAAACTCTTCTCTTCCCTTTATTTTTCTCTTTGGCTTCATTGCCATCTGACGTACTCTGCTTTTGTTTGGTCGCGTTGTTTGAACCCGTGCGTCTGCTCATTGTCTGCATCCACTGTGAGAGTGAAAGCTCCCCAGGAGTAGAAAGTTTGGGTCCTTTTGTTCCTCAGTGTGCCCCCAAATAAAGGAACCGATGTGGGAAGCCTCGGTGTGCCCTGCAAACATTTCTCCAAAGACTGTGGGTTTTACTGATTCTGCAGACTGCCTTCATTTACCTTTTAAAACTGTTTCATTCAATATTTAATTCTAATTTGTTAGCCTTGGCTGTAAGTGACAGTGCTAATGTAATAATAATTTTCAAGTGTTTTATATTTTATTACAGCTCCCCATGCCTATCGAAGTACTGCTGAGCAGGTCACCTGTCTAAACCCCATAAAATGGGACAATAACTCCTGTCTGGTAATAAACCACTTTGTGTGGGTTGACTGAGATAAGGTTTTGCATCTAGCACACAGTAGGTACTTAACACTAACTCTTATTTTGCAGGTGAGCATCAGAACAATCATCCCCGTAACACACACAGGATAATAAATGACTCACATTTATCATCACAGCTACTCACATTTATTCACATAACTAGGGTCATGTTATGTTTGGGAAAATGACTTTCCCAAAGTAACACAATAAATCCCTGAAGGAGATGGATCCAAGCCATAGCCTTTATAACTTTATATTTCTTGGCCACAGATGGAAACACCTACAAATAAAGGTTTATTTATGTATTTATTTATGTATTTAGAAATAAAGAAGTTACACCAATAGAAATAAGCTGTATTCCATCTTGAGAACTACAGCCAGGCGGCATCAATATCAGGGAAAGAGGCGATTTTAAGAAGATCAAGGCCGATGTGGTGGTGCATGCCTGTAATCCCAGCAGCTTGGGAGGCTGAGGCAGGAGGATCACAAGTTCAAAGTCAACCTTAGTAAAACCGAGGCTCTGAGCAACTCAGTGAGACCCAGTCTCTAAATAAAATACAAAATAGGGCTGGGGTGTGGCTCAGTGTTTGTGTGCCCCTGAGTTTAATCCCCAGTACCAAAAAAAGGAAGAAAAAGATCAGGGTCCCCAATGTTTTCCCCTTGGGAAAGAAAAGGCACTTTCACATTCCCAGGGCATGACTATTGGCAAAGCCACGGGTGTCTCCTCCACGTTCACATTCACTCCTTTCTGTCCTCCTCTTGACAGCCCACTGAGAATGATAAGAAAATTTTGAATTTTCTGATTTACAGAAATAATTATTTGCAAACCTCAGTACGCATGAATATATTTCTGTTCCCATGTTCCACGTGGACCACAAGCCACAGACGGTGTCCTGAGAGCACATTTGGGAACATGGTCGAGGCGGGCACGACCCCTTTCCTGGGCTTGCAGGCCATGGGCACCTTGGATTTCTCCCTGCCGCTGCTGGGAGGAAGGGGCACGCGTGGTGAGTGCGCTCCTCTCCTGGCCATTAACAGTGGTGTCTCTCCACTGACTTCGAACGAGCCAACTGCTATAATGAGGAAATAAAAAGAATTAGCCCAACCTTTCCCCAGATCTGTCCTGGTTTCTCTGCCCTTTCTCCCTCAGGAGAAGCTTAATGACAGACAGATCTGAGTTTGGAAAGATGTTTGGGTTGTTTCTTTCTTTCCCAATCACAGACTTGCTCCTGGGGAACGTTTCTGGAAGCGTTATCTGACTTCACTTGAAATGTACGAGTCAGTGGGACTTCCCGGGATCTCTCTTGGGAGGCTATTCTGCCAGCTTGAAGGTCTCTCATGATCAGCAGACAGTGGCTCCCTCTGTTCAGCATTAGCTTAGAAATGGGGAACATGGGGCTGGTGTTCTGTGTCCCTGGTGTGTTGAGCACTTGGGAACCCAGCCGGCAAGGTCCTGTGGCAGGGAGCTTCTTCCCATGGAGTGTCAGGGATTGGGGCTTGAGTGCAGTTCTGCCCCAACCTTTGAGTTCACGTCTTTGAACACACTGTCTTCAGTCTCCTTCAGTGTAATTGAGATGGAGGAGGCCCTCTTATCAGCTGGGGATATATAACAACGCTCTTAGCAGATGCCTAAAACTGCAAATATATCCTCTTTTTTCCCCTATACATAAATATTTATAAAAATATCAGTTAGGGACAGTATAAGATTAACAACAAAAACGAATAATGAATTAGAAAAAATTGTAACAACATGCTATAATAAAAAGTATGTGAATATTTGTAGTCTCTCTTCCTTTCTTTGTGCTTTAGATGTCAGCAAGCGTAGCATATGATAATTTTTTTTTCTTTCCTTACTAAATTGAGAACTTTTACCTTTTTGCTTAAAAGAGGTACTTTATGGATTCCATTTGGCATATCTGAATTGTGAGTATCACTACTCTTGCCCTTGGGGTCATTATTAAGTAAAACGGGGGTTACTTGCATACAACCACTTTGTGTGATACCATGACGGTCAATCTAATAATCGAGGGACTAACAGGCGGGGCGTGTATACAATATGAATACACTGGACAAAGGGATGATTCACATCCTGTAAGGGATGGTGTAGGACAGTGTGAGATTCCATCATGCTCCTTTGAATGGCCTGCAATTTAAAATTGAAAATGTCTTTTTTTTTCTGAGACTTTCCATTAGTATTTTCGGACCACAGTTGGCCATGGTAGTTGGAACCATGGAGAGCAAAACTATGGATGAGAGGGATACTACTCCACCCATTTGTAGGAGTGTTAGGAGAAGTGAGGGCCTCGTACATGGGAAAGCATCTTGATCGTGCTGTGGAACATCAGCGCAGGGGTCTGGGGAGAGGATCTGCTCATCTCCACTAATTTATGAGCCTCAAGATGAGTGACTCTGGAAGAGAAGGACCGGAGGGTCTGTGGTGAAGAAGCTGGGGCTGCAGGGGCTGCTGAGACCAGGATATGCTGGGCCTGGATTCTGATGACGTGGCCTGGGTTCCCTCGGCTGTGCTTGTGTTATCCAGAGTGGAAGCGTCACATCAGTAGGCCCCTCGGAGGGGCTGTGGGTAGAGGGTGGAAATCTGTCACCAGGTTTCGTGCCCGTCAGCAGCCACCGCTGGAAGGTGAGTGTAAACAGCCGGGGCCTGTGTTTGAGACTTTCCCTTAGAAGGCCAGGTAGAAACCAGCTTGGGTAGAGGCAACAGTTCGAGTTGGAGTGGGCAGCTACATGAAGATTGGCCAAAGCTCAACAACAGGGCCACACCACAGAATGTCCTGGTCGGCGAGGGCCACCCCAGGCCTCTTCTCCCACAGCATTGGGAGGGATTCTTACAGTGAGGAGGCCGGGTGGCCTCTGCCCACCAGGTAGAGTGTAAGAGGAAATGGAACCGGTTAGGGGCTCCAGGGAGGAGGCCGAGAGAATAGAGCCACAGTGAAGGCCAGGCAAGGCGGAAAGAGCAGACTCCTGAGGCACAGAGTGAGGCGTTTGTTAGTAGTAAGAGATGGGATTTGTCACGTGCAAGGGTGCCCAGGCAGGGAGGGGACCACGCAGGCACCGGGGGCTCACAGAGGACTAGCAGTCGGATTGGAAAGGGACGTTTCTCTTGCTTTGGTCACTTTCTTCCCCATCTCTCTGTCCTTCCCCTTACCTCCCATGCTGCAGGGTCAGGGCCAACTTCTGTTTGTAAAGTGCCCTTGTCCTTGCAAAGCCAAGAGATAACCAAGATGGTGTTGGTGACAGCTTTCCTCCACTGGTGTCTGCAGGTAGTTAGGTTAAAAAAAAAACAGAAGGAGAAATGTCGGGTTAGTCCAGTTGGGCACACTTGCTGGATTTCTCAGACCCGTGCAGATGCTACTTCAAAGGTTGTCTCTCATGTGGGCTCCTTGTGGGCAGGGCCTTTGTCTTATTCTCTGTGACAGAGTGCCCAAAATAGGCCCTGGCATGTAGCAGGTGATTAATGAATAAATCAATGTAAAAGTAAAATTTCTCAAAATTATGAGATCACAAAGCTTTTTTTTCTAGTAAAGTCCTATTGAACTAATGCTTCATAGACGACCCTTCAGTATAAATGCTGGCCTGGTAGAATGGGGATGTGAAAAGATCCTTAAAGTCTCTATTCAGATTCCAAGAGACTTTAAGCTCAAATTTGGTCCAGTTTACTCTACCAGGGTGTAGGGATATGAGGAATTTGGGGCTAAGCCCTTAGCTATTGTTGATGGAATATGCTAGAAGGAAATCTTGCATATTCCTGGATGAGGCCACCACCAGGGCGGACACCCAACGGAGGACAGGGAGGTGCTAATCCCACAGGACAAATAACTAAGAACTTGTTTCTCCATTTCTTCTGAGTTCTATTAAGATATTATAGGAGATCCTGATAGAAACGTCTGCAGGGATGACATAACTCACACAAGTATTTGTGCTGACATTCGCTGTTAAACAGGCTTTCCCAATCTCTCCTGGCAAAACAGGCCCAGAGCCAAGGCTGGACCCACCTCCGAATGTCTACGTGTGTGTTGGGGCCCCACAGCTCCCTGTTGGTCTGCTGGGGCACGGAAGTCACCATTGGTCTGAAGGCAGAGTGCCCTGGGTTTGTCACAGACATCTAGACTGGGATGCCGGCAGAACAGAGTGGGTGGCCAAATACTTTCCCAAACATGACCTTTGAGCCTGAAAACAATCCCCTGAGCTGGGCAGGGCAGAGATTCCTATTTCCATTTAGCAGCAAGGGAAACTGAGGCTCTGAGCTACCCAAGTTCATTCAGCTAGTCAACGTGGCAAGATTGGGTTTTAAAGATGTGGCTCCTGTGGCTGTGGACTAACTGGGCTCACAAGGTGAGAGTGCACTTCTATATAGGTCTCTATAGTTCATCTTCTAAAAGTCAGAGCAGAGAGAAAACTGCAATAAATGAGGTTGCAGATAGAGAAATAGCCCACAATGATATTGAAAAGCAATCCTATTAAAAATTGGGACAAATTCTCTACCCAATTTTGTTAGATGAAATATGATGATTGTAGATTAAAAGTGAACCAGTCTTAGAATAAAAGCCCACACCAGCAATGAAGAGGAAAATTCAGTGCTCATTATGGGATTGATCATAGATTGCTTCTTTCCTAATTTAAATCTCACTCTTTGAAATGAAAAATTAGAAGTATGTTGTGGGAGAAGTGGACTAAGAGTCAGGAGACTTGGGTTTTCAACCCAGCTCTGTGGCTAATTAGCTGTGTGACCTTGCCAAGTGACTTAACATCTCTGCACCTCTGTTTCTTCATTTGAAGAAGGAAGGGATGCGTCCAATAATTTCCAAGGTCTTTTTCAGTGCTAAAAGACTATGCATTTAATGGCTAAAGAGCTCTTTAAGAGACATGTTTGGTGTCTAGAAATGTACATTTTTATTTTTACTGTCATCCCAAGTACCTATTGTGGGCCTATTTGCATGTCATTATGCACATGAACATACACAGCTCCTGGGAGCATGGTTGCTGCTCCGACTTGCCTTGGCCTCCCTCCTGGCTCCAGTTCCTCCTGGCTTTTGTTATTTGGGGACTGGAGTCTTGACCACAACCACAGGCCTGCAGCAGGAGGGCCTACTCCTTCCCAGATTTCCCATGGCTGGGCTCTTTCCTGGCAAAAGACCTGTTGGTCAGTCATCTCTTCCTACCTGAGCAGACTTCCTTCCACTGATGGCTCCTGGTCCTTGTTCTCACCCTTCCCCTCTAACTTGCTTCTTGAAGTTCCTGAGCTTGCACCACTATTTTGACAAAAATCTTGTTGTCCTATGTTAGGGTCTGTAAACAAGTCAGGATGGCGCCTGGCACTTTGCCAGAGAAATGTTAGGGTCTGTACACAAGACAGGATGGCGCCTGGCACTTTGCCAGAGGGAGTGGTTTGAGAAGTAATGCCAGCGAGCCATTAAGTGTGGAGATTCCTTATTGGTTGACTGCGGTATCTAGTTTATGTTAATTAAGATAAGCTGTGTGGAATGTATATATACCCCTCCTGTCCTACAATAAACGGCTCCCACTCCTGCTGTATCAATGCACACAAGTTGTTCGTCCCCCCCCCCCCCCCAGTTATTTTGCTGCAGCTGGACTGCGGCAGTCCTAGGTGGCATCTACAAATGAGGACGGCCAGGAGCAGTCACAGGAAGGAACAAATGAAGGTCTACAGGAGCCCGTGGCCTTGATCTTATCAGGGAATAGGACTTGCCGAGTGCTTGCAGAACACTAGCCAGCTTCTGCAGCCTTAGCGGCCCATTGCTTTACCACCTCTGTACTGAGCGGCCACCGGCCCCCTCCCTTGTGCCTCCACCCATCCTTCCAGATCACCTCAAGTCTCATCTCCTCAGACTGCCAGGTTCATGAGCCAAAGCAGCCTCCCCTCGGCAATGGCATCCCACCTCCTGCACAGAGCCCAGTTCACTCCTGCTTCTTCAGATCTCAGCAAAACATCCTCCTCCTCCAGGAAGCCCTCACTGACCACACAATTAGACCAGATCCCACTGAGCAGACAGTCTTAACTCCCTGCGATTTCCTTCCATCTCACTCAGTGGGTGGTAATACACAATTACCACTGACCACCCCCCCTCGGAGGTAGGATCTGACCTCCTCACCGCCATCTTCCCCAAGGTCTGACAATATGCCCCGGCGTACTCACTATACCTCACACACTCCCTTGAAGTTTTACATCAATACCAACGACTCACCAGAAGGTCTCTTCAGCCAGGCTGCCACCTCCTTGAAGGCAAAGCAGTCTCATCTTGAACTTCAGCGTCTCCAGCACCAATTTGAACAAACAGATCTGCTGGAGGGTTCAGCTTTAGGAGTGCTGCATGGTCCTGGTGTGAATTCAGACCTGTGCGCTGGGAAGGGACTTCCTTCCAGACTTCTGGTGTAGGAGACAAGTTACCGCTGGAGGTCAGAGAGAGAGAGAGAGGAAAGTGACAGGAGAGAGAAAAAGGGAACAATTTCATCCAGGCAGAAAGCTATGGGAGGTCCTCAAAACGGGACATGTCTGGAGGCAGTGCTGGGGCGTGGGGCTGGTGGGAAACAGTGTGATGGGGGCTGTCAGGCGATTTCATCCTGTGCTGAACACTCCTCACAGGTGGACGGTGGTCATCGTTCAGGAGTCCCGTGTATCCAGCTCTCCCCACGGTTCTGGGTCCTAGGCTTCCATTACTTTTTGGATCTGGACCAAATAAGTAAAACTCTTCTGTTATCTCTTTTCTATGCAAAAGATGGTGATGGGGCCGGGCTAGAGACGGGTACAAATAGCTCCCTTCAACTCTCGGCAGGGCTGATGGAGCATCCTCTGGGAGAAGAGATGTGAAAACGCCACGAAATGAAACGCGTATTTAAATGCAGGAGGTAAGTCTTAAACCGATACCTGCCCAGCTGCGGCTGTCCACCTTTAGCACCTTCCACAGGAACTGTGGAGACCCAGAGGACCACAGGATGTGGTGACTGAATTCCGGAAGGTGGCCTGACCTGGCCTGTGCTGGCTGGAAGTCTCTGGGGACAGTTGTCTCCTTTGGGGAAGAGGAAGCCAGTGAGGGCTGGGAGCTGGCCGAGCCTCCAGAGGGGGCGGCCTTGGCGTGACCAAGACTGCTATTGATTCCTTGTCAGTGACAGAGGATTTAGTAGCCCTGCGCGTGAACTGCCCCCAACTGAAAATCAGTGCTGGACAAAGCGGTGGACTCTGTGGAATGGAAAGAGCAGGGTGGACAGGGGACGAGGCCACCAACGCGTTCTCAAGCATCCGCTCTCCACAAGTGTCCACCTGTTTGTGGGAAGCCCTAAGCCATGGAGTTAGACGGGAGGGTCTGGAGTCGGGCAGATGGGGGTTCGAATCTCGGCTCTACCCAGGAGCCGGGGAAGTTCCTTTTCCTTGTGCCTCGGTTTCCTCCTCTGCAGGGGGATAAAGTCCCCACGGCCGGTGATGATCGTGAGGATCAAAAGAAGCCCCGGTCG